AGACTGGATGCTTACCAGGAGTTCCAGCCGGCGACGTTGGTGGCGAAACCGCGCAGTTGGGACGGGCTGCCGGCGGCCTTGTACGCCTTGGCGAGTTCCTCGGCGCCGGGCTTGAGGTTGTCGTTCCAGCCAAGCCAGCCTCCGTGGCCCGCATCCATGTACATGACGACGTTGGGAAGATTGAGATTCTTCAGAGCGTAGGCGACGCCGTCGCGGTAGCCGGCGGCCGAGTTCTGGCAGGTTTGCAGGTTGATATTGGTGACCAGGTTGGGGAGAGAGTCCGGCTCGATGACGAGGGCGAAGGCCGTGTTGGGGTTCGCCTTGATGATCTTGACGATGGGGTCGATGTACTGCGACTGGTACTTGGAGAGTTCGCCGACAGCGAGCTCGCCGTTGGAAGCCTTGGCAGCGCAGTCACGGCCCGGTAGATCGTAGATGACGACACCCAGAATGTGGTCACAGGGGGTGTCAGCAATGGCAGGATCAAGACGCGCAATGTTTGCAATGGTGTCACTGAACGGTTATCATTAGTCTCCCGCAATGTTCTCTCAGGCGGACGTTGAGTTATAGGACGGCTTACACCCATACGAAGGATCCGACATCGGCGACCTTAAGAGCCTGTTCCTTGAGAGTTCCGCTCATGCCTGCGGCAGCAGCCTGAATCTCAGCCCTGTAGAAGTTGTTGGGGTGCAGGGTGTACTTGGAGAAAACGTTCGTCTTCGCGTCCAAGGAGACGGCCGAAGAGCAGGCAGAGACGGCTTCGCGGGGTTGCTCCTTGCGTGTGGTCGAAGGCGCAGCAATGGCCGTCGAGGCCAAGGCCGTCACAGTGGCGGTTGTGAACTTCATGTTGATGCGGGGTCTCCTGGTTTAGCTGCTCTTCTTTCGTGATGCTGAGTTGTCTGATGAGAGTCTGAGGATGAAGATAGACAGTACCATATTTATACACCTCAAGCCTTCAAGGCCAGTCAGATTGTGAGTCCCATACACAACATTACGCACTTGCGATCTTCAAGAGCACTCGCCTTCAAAGCGACATCAATCAGGAAATAGGCCCGACAGTTGCGAAGGTTTCGGCCAGCTCTCTCCGCGTTGCGATGATGCGGTTGCCATGAAGGGCAAGCCAAGGCTGGTGGAAGAAGACGAGCCGTCTGGGAAGATTGATCTTTCCAATTGGCATGTCTGGGCAATTTCATTCCAGGGGGTTCGATATGAATCCCTTCGTCAATTAAACAGGCAACATGGGATGGGCGTCCTGAAGCGGTTTCTTCGAAAGCGATCCTCCAGTCAGATGGTCTCCCAGTGTTGGCCTGCTTTATTGCCTGCAACCCCCGCAACATGAGAAAGCCTCAGATGCTTCCATCCGGGCTAGCCGGAGGAAAGTATCTAGGCCATGTTAGCAGTTCATGATCTGCGAGTGGCGAGACAGGGTATTGTAGTGCTGGCAAGCCTCGACTGGCAATTTCGTCCAACTCTCGTAGTCAGGATTTGTTTACCCGCTTTCGTATGATCGCTTTGCCATCACCAGGGCTTCCCTGTGAGATCTTCAAACTACTCGGAGCGTGAGAAAGAGCAGAAACCAGTGCCAGTGGACAGTATCAACCTGTCATTTCTTTAGTGTGCGCTTGACCGGTTCGATCTGATCTGTACCTGCGTATAAGTCGTCGACTAGCGGCCGCCTCCACAACAGATGCAATCAAGCCAACCCAAGTAGGGGCGAGAATAACACAAGACGCAAAGCAAACCGTGAATGAAAGGAGGGGCCCAAGAGAAATTCCGTGGCGGCAATCCCACATCGGGAAGCAGGTACAGCAAAATCCCCGCCACGAAGTGTCATCCAGTTATTGCCGCCATGGATATGAGTGTCGTTGAGTCGACTTTAGCCGGCGAACCCCAGATCGACAGCACGAAGTTGGGTGCCGGCGCTAAGCTCGTTGCTCAAGCTTCTCTTGGCCGGCTAAAATATCCGAGCAGGGCCGCAGCGTCTTGGCTGTCTCGCTAACCAATTTGCCAATGGTTACCGACTAGGACGTTGCCCATTCGTGCAAAATTGACGATGTATCGTAGCCCTCTGTCATATTAACTGCACTCCCTCCCCCGCTCGCCTCCTTGCTTAGAGCAGCGTGAAATTGAGCACGACACACGGCACGGACCAAATCATCGCTGATTCTCCAACTTACAGCAAGTCACAAGAGCGAAGCTGCCCGGTAACATTGCAAAGCTTTCAAGGTATCCCGAGATTCAAGTGGACGTGTCCAAGGTTCCTGTCCGAACTTCATTCGTAAACGCGGGGTTGGGTCCCGTCGCGGAGCAGCCTTCCGACCAGTGCGCATCCAGATTGCTTCCACATTGCGCTTAAGTACCCGATACCACCATGGCGCTTGGCGGCAATGGGACGATGGGTCGTGAGAGAAGCAAACTTGTCGATTTGCTTGTCTCCTGCCTGAATTGGCCTATGTTTCCGTCGCAGGAGAGTATCTGGAACTCATTTCCCATGGGGTCATGGAAAATGTAGTGGCCGGGTGAGAATGGCATTGACTACGACAGCGGCATTGCGGCGCGACGAAGCGGCACTACGATGGCAAAGACGCGAATGGCAATGCAGGCTGACCACGGCAACATGTCAGTCGATGATATCTCGAGTGGGCTTAGTATTTGTCCTCACAGCAAGACCATGGCAAGGTAGAATATCAAGGGTAGACTGCGTCGTATCATCATCCCAACCACAGCGCAGCAGAAATTTGGATCAGTCCCGAACACTCGACTTGAGCATGCCAAGTCTTCCGTCAATAATCACCCCAGGAGATCCTATCGTAGATTTCCGAAGTTCAACTTGTACATTGTCGTTGTAATGGTCATATCATCCTCTGTGACCACTTTCTATATCTTTATTTTACACTCCTGTCAACGAGGACATTGGGTCGTTTGGCTGCAGGAATACAGCGTGCCGAGCAACGATGTAGAAACGACCCGTTTTACGGCGGTGTTGCTTGGAGGTATACCTCCAATGCGTTCGGCTTACCAGGTGTCTCCTTACATGAAAGGAGGAAGAGAGAAGGGGTAGCCGCCGTTCTTGATGCGGAAGACGCTGAGGAGGAAGCTGTACATGAGGAACAAAACGCCGCCCCAAGCCAGCACAGCAACCTGCTGCGTCTTCGAGTCGCCAATACGAGGAACCTTGACGGTAAGAGAGATGGCACAGAAAGCCAAGACACCATCTAGTATCTGTCAGCTGCGATGCACATGTTTGGACACAGTTGCGAAGCTTACAAATGGCAGCCACGATCTGGGTCTCCAAGCCAAACTGGTTCTGGAAGCCACCGGCAAAGTAGCTGATACCGCCGCGGCCATCTCCGGCAACATAGGGAACCTTGCGAATGTGATTGAACATGTGTCCGCTGGTGAAGAGAAGGATGGCAATGAGGCTGACGGCGGCCCAGAGATTGCGGTTCTGGATGATGGGCAAAATGTAAGGCGAGGCAGTGACGACAACTGTGCCCAGACCAAGAATGATGGTGATGGAAGAAATCCAGCGCATCCAGTTGATAGGACGCTTGACCGGAGGGTGAGGCCGGTCAGCCAGGTGTCGCGAGAGCCATGCGTGGACTTGATCGGCAGACTGGGGTCTACGTTGTGTGTCAGTCTCTTTCTTCAGTGGCAACAATTATTCAAACCAACCCGCTGGTGAAATCGTATTGCAAAGGCTCCTGGGCAGGGACAGCGTGAGGACCGACGGTGGGCTGGAACAGGAGGAGGACGGGAGCGGTTTGGAGGCCGAGCTGGTTGTCGTGTTAGTCCATGTCTTGCCTCGGACAATGGGGCGGTGGTAAGGTGAGAACTTACCGACATGAAGACCTCACGACCGTCAGAGAAGTCCAGAGTGCCGAAAATCAAACGGGACTCGCCCTTCTTATCGCCCTTGGTCCAGGACTTGCCGAGAAGATCCCATTCCGGCTGGAACTCTCTGCAAAGCTGGCAGCCGAAGCGAGACTCGAGAGCCGTCAGGAGGACGGCAACGGTGTAGTCGCGGGGGGTGGCGGTCAAGGACTTGTAGCTGGTGTCGGCGAGCTTGATCGGGGAGGAGGAGAGGGCCTTGGTGTGAAATTCATTGAAGCGCTCCTCGGTGGTCTTCTTGGCAGCGAGAGAACCGGACGCCAGGAACGAGGTCGCGGCCAAGAGGGATTGGAGGAAGCGCATGGCGAGTTTCGTTGCGGGTCCAGAAGCTACTGTCGATTTCGTGAACGCTCGCGCGGGAAAGTTGTGCTTGTTTCGTGGCCAATTGGCCTAGGTGGTGCAGTTAAATCGGCGTACGTAACGAGTGGGTGCGCCGTGAGTATCGTTGAGATGCGGCAAGCTGATGCAGCTTGAACTGGACAGCTCTCATCAGTGTCGCCAGCCCACAGTAGTGTGGGTCTGCCTACCTTACACTTCCAACCTACCAGTGCTCTGCCGGGCAGGTACGGAGCACGCACTACACAGCAACCCCTGGACCTGGGACAACTGGGGCCTGCGGGGCTGGCGGTAAGACAACGACCGGGGAAAGTATTTGCCGCTCCGTCAAGAGTCTGGGCACCTTAACTAAGGTAAGGCAGATAACCTTACCTAAGACTTAGTGACGTCGAGGGTTTTCACTGTGTGCAGGCGCGACAAGCACGGACTCAGATCGACCAGGCTGGCTACTGGCACAGTGGGACAACCTGCTTAGAGTGGGGGCACCCGAAGAGGACGAAGCTAACCCTTTTCGGAATCATGTTTACCTCTTCAGCGTCCACATCGAAAGGCACCCCCCCGAACACACCGCAACATCATCGCCAATTTAACATCGACATCGCGAATCTCATCAGAAACAAGTGCGGGCACCCCTACTACTTCTGTACACTTCAAATATCAGCCCTGAGACACCAACGTCGAGGACTGATCGCGCACTATTCCTACTTCAGAGATTATACGGACCCCGACCAGGCGACGCGCTCACGCGCTGAAGCAAAAACAAGTCCTGCAAAATGCCGTGCAAGACGAGAAATATGGACTCAGAGGAGGTGAGCTACCTGCGACACGCGGCAAGCACACCCATTGGAAATTCACTCCATCCTAACCTTCGTTCGCAGAGGATGGCGGCCGCCCACGAGCTTGAGTTGAAGCACGAGAAACACATCCACCAGGCACAACTGATCGCCAAGGAGGAAGACGCGCGTAGACAAAGGGTTACAAAGCAGGTGCTTCTTGCAGAGAACTCGACATTACGCGAGCAGCTCGCCGAGAAAGACGCTCAGATCAACCAACTGACCGACAAATGCGACGAGACGCGCTCCGAGCTGGACTCCCTGAAGGCCGCTAGTCATGATCAACAGACCCAAATAAAGTCACAAACAAGAGAATTCGCCAATATCAAGGTTGGTCCCTGTCGCGAGCCCGCCCATCAGTAAGAATCGCCATAGCTGATGAAGACAGGCCGAACTTGAGTCACTCAACAGTTTGTCTCAAGAGTCAACCAAGGTTCTTTCCGAGAAGCTGGCTCTTTCTCGAGAGCTCAACGCTTTAAGGCCCGAATTGGAGCACTTGCGGTCACAAGTGGCTCACCAGCAAACAGCCATCGCGGAAAAGTTGGCGTTGGAACGGGAACTCAACATGGTTGAGGTGCAATTGGCCAACGAGAAACGCGTACGGGAACAACAAGCAGCCCAAGCGGAGGGCAACAAGACAACCGAGGACGAGCTGAGTCGCAAGCTAAAGGACACCGAGAAGAAGTTGGCCGTCGAGAAGCGAGAAAAGGAACAATTGCAAAAAGAACTCGATTCTGTCGCTGCCGCTGCGCAGATGGGCGAGGACAACAAGAAAGCAGACCAGGAGCTCAAGAAGAAGCTACAGGAGGCAGAGAAAACGCTTCTGACCGAAAGGCGTGAGAAGGAGAGGCTTCGTAAGGAGAACGAGGTGGCACTGTCGGAGGCTCAGGCACAGAACGAAATGCTGGAGCAGCGTCTTGACACCCTGAGATCAAAGCTACGGATTACTCAGGAGGAACTCAAGTCGATGCGATCCGAAGTCGTCCACACAAGTACCGTGCCTACGAAGAAGGCAGATACCGCCGCGCGGGTTGGCGGTGCCAAGGCGCAGAATGCTCGCAAGCGCCGAGTAGAAGAACTCAGCATAAGCGACATGAGCATTGGAACGCCAGAGGATGTCACACGAGGCAGGCGACAACTTAAGAAGAAGGAGCAAGCCCTGGTAGGCGAAAAATCGACATTCTCCATCACTCCTTTCTTGGCCAAAAGCAAGACTCTTACCGTTGAGGACGCGGTTGCCGAGGAGGAAGAAAACGAAGCCGATGTCAGTTACGTGCCTCTTGCACACCAGGCTCAACAGGCCGCTGCTGAGGCTGAGGCGGAGGCCCAGGCAAGTGCTGGAGAAGATGATGGGGCTGAGCCCGAAACTGCAGACTCGGCAGAAGCGGAGCCCGAAAAACCCGCCCTCGCTCCCAAAGAAACCAAGACTAAGACGAAAGCCAAAAGCAATGGAGAAACCAAGAAGGCGCGTGGCAGGCCCAAGAAGGCATTGGCTGAGTCATCCCCGAACATGCCTGTACAGGCCCCGTCCGCGAGCAATGACGTGGCCAAGTCAGGTTCTCTGCTTGACAAGGTTCTCGAGGAGCCCGAGGCCGGCGAACAGGAGAATGCAATTCCTCCCGCGAAGATCTCTGCAGCGGAGAAGAAAGCGTCGGTGACAAGTACGGGTGTGCGCGAACAAGAGGTCAAGAGAAAGAAGCGCAAGCTCGCCGGCGACTCAACCACTCTTTTCGACGACGATGGTGAGGTGGAGACTGCGAATGTCAAGCGACCTGGTGGTAAAGTTGCGCCAGGAGCCGGCAAGGCCCTAGGCAAGACGCACTTGTCCTTGGTGCGTAACGCGGGCGCATTTGGCAAGAGGACATTCTCTCCACTCAAGAAAGATAGGAGAGGTGTTGGTGCTAGTTTCCTGGCGTAAGACAAGGCCGGCGATGGATGTGTCTTAATCCGAGCATGCAGGAATCATCTGCGGGTTGCATGGGCGGCGTTCTGGGATGGGAACTGGCGTTAGTATTATTGGGCTTATTGGTAGGTATGGTATCCAGATCAAGTTGCATTTTCCTGAATGAAGAGGTCTTGAGGGCCGCAAATCTCGCTCAAAGTTTTCCGTCCGATATGAACCCTCTGGAGCCTACGTGTGGTTGTGTACTTGTTGAAACTGAGACGTCGTGACAATAATGTAAAGGTCACCTAGGCTGTTTGCTGCCCCTGTTTGGGTGCGACTGAAGCTTGGGCCAATCAGCATGTCGAGTCAATGGTGGATGCAGAAGCTTCACTTGAATAAACATGTTACACAACAACGCTGGGCTTTGGTTGGAGTAGCTCCTTATACTCGGCTTTTGACCCTTCAATCCAACCAAAGGCGGTACGTGACCCTTGACGTGCCTCTCTGAGCCATTCGCATGTAGAGTGGTACCGAGGACGGCCGTTTCCAAACAACCAGCACGCTCATGACGTCTGCCGCCTACGGCACACAATGACAACAATGTCCAGATCACCCGCCCGCGCTCTCATGAGAGTTTCCAGACGACAGTCTTTTCCCTTGCTTTCTACAGCTTGTGTGGAGTGCCGGAATACACTCAATGCTGGCGCCAGTCAGATGCGGGCATCTTCGTCCAACTCGAGATGGAAGATGAGGCAGGGCAAGGATATTTTCGCGCGCGAGGCCAAGGTCCAGGGCCTCAAAAGCAGAGCGGCGTTCAAGCTTCTAGAGGTTTGCACATTCCTGGATTTGTCTTTGTGAAGAGTTCCTCCGGTGAGCTGACGAGTTTGCCAGATGGATTCCAAGTACAGAATTTTCCGCAGGGGACAGACAGTGGTGGACCTGGTATGTTGCCCTTGCTCTCCTGCAAAGACCCTTTAAGACCACGTAAACTGACATTTTGACACAGGGATATGCTCCTGGGAGTTGGTCGCAGGTATGCACATATTTCATGAACTCGTGGGAGCATATGCAAAGATGTATTGCTGTGTATCTAGGTCGCCGCCGACCGCACGAAACCCCACGGACAGATTTTGGGAATCGACATCATCCCGGCCCAGCCACCAAAGGGCGTCTCGACGATCCAGGGTAACTTCCTCTCGCCTGACGTCCAGGAGATGGTGAAGGACTACCTCGTCCGGCACAAGAAAGGCCGTCCGGCCCGGCCACCAGCCTCGACGACCTCACCTGAGGGAGAGGAGAGCACAGGCACAGACGAGGCCGCCATTATCGAGGACCAGCCGAGCTATATTGACATGGAGAGGGCGGCTTCAGAGACGCCCGACAAGTCTGAGTTTGTTGCTGAGACAACGAAGCCAAAGGATGGTCGGTTGGTGGATGTGAGTAATCGTCAATCAGGACGAGACTTCTGCAAGAACTAACAGAGAGGTCTAGATTGTATTGAGTGACATGTCAGCACCTTGGGACCAGACCACCGGGTTTGGAGTGAACAGTCTTAGTAATCCCTATCATAGGATGATGAACACGAGCGGCATGGCCTTTCGGGATCACGCCGGTAGCATGGTTCGTGTTCGTCTGGGATCAGGCTTCACATTTCATGGGGGCTGACGAAGTATTGCAGGACCTTTGCATGGCCGCGCTCCAATTCGCCAACGATACGCTAAAGAACGGCGGCCACTTTGTTTGCAAATTCTATCAGGGCTCCGAGGACAAGGCGTTCGAGATGAAGTTGAAGACCCTTTTTGCGAAGGTGTTCCGCGAGAAGCCCGAGTCGTCTCGTAGCGTATGCTGGACGTGTCTACTGGGTTGTGCGACGAGGCTAATGCATGACAGGATTCGAAAGAAGCGTACTTTGTGGCTCTTAGGAGGAAAGGTGAAGTACAACTTCAGGGGGGCAATAATAGCTTGTGAAGGCGGAACGGTCGTTTCACACGTGCAGTAGGCAGGCACACACTTTTCACATCCATACACACACAATACACGCCAAATGAGATCACACCAGCAGAAGGGACTGTACGATATGAAGATGAAAAACCAGCCTCACGGCCGCCCAAGAGATGCCATTTGACGCCATGCGAAGTGTGTAGATCGTCAATTCTTTTTTGGATTCCTAACCACGCCAGTACCATGCAGAAAGTTCCCTGTGAAGCACGATGAGAGACCCTCATCGGCAGTCCATAGCCGTAATAGCGTGTCCACCAGTGCGACGAGAAATCGCACGACCAACCCCGCAAAGGAGCATGATGAAAGTGGTCCCGCCAGAGACCAATAGCACCACACAACCCGTTTAGACCTTGAAGCCGCGAGAGCGTCTGCGACCACGGGCACGCTCGAACTTGCGACCCTTGGACTCGACGTAGGGCTTCTGCAGAGGTTGTTAGCACTCACGTATTGTGGCAGGTGGGGAGGGGGTGGGATCCGGACCTTGTGCTTGTGGGGACCGAAGCCGAAGTGCTTGACGGCCTCGCGGGAGTTCTTGGGACCGCGGAGGAGCAGGGTGTTGCTTCCGGTGGGGGCGCGGAGGGCAAGCTGGTCGAGGGTGATGGCCTCACCGCCGGCGGCAGCAATGCGGGCACGGGCGGTGGAGGTGAAGCGGAGGGCCGCAATGGTGACCTTGGGGACGGTCAGGAGACGGTTGTCGTCGGTGACGGTGCCAACGATGACGACGGTCTTCTTCTCGTTGCCGTTCTTAATGTTGGCGGCAACGCGAGAGAGGGAGACGGGAGGGCGGTTGATGCGCGACATGAAGAGGCGGCGCAGGATAACCTTGTTGAAGTTGGACTCCGTGCGGCCTGCGAGATTGGGAAGAAACCAAGATCAGCAATTCATTTTGACATTGTTGGCGACGCTCGAGGCGGGGGGAAGAGGAACTCACGGGTCAGGAAGCGGTAGAGCTTCACCAAGAGCTTGAGGTAGACATTGTCGCTCTTGGGAGCCTTGCGGTGCGTGCTGCGCACGTGGTGGCGGTCGAGATCAATACCTATAAACGGGGTGAAGAGCCCATCGTCAGCCTTTTGGTTCAAGCATGCTCTGAATGAGGCGGGAAGTCCGTCATCCACAGTCCCGAATCCTCAAGTCCCAAAGACTCCTCATCCTCTGCTCGCACTCGGCGAGGGGACAGGCGGCCATTGGGGTGGGAAAACGGGCAGGAGAGGATTTTTCTTTTCCGCGCGCCTAGTTCGCAGAATAGCAACAGCAAAGATCCCAATGAAGGGTTTCGCGTGCACATTCCACTCGCATGTAAAGGCTTTGGAATGGGAATTCCTACGTACCCATCTTGTCGTTGGACTCCCGGAATTGGCGATCTGAGTCGATGGGTGGCCGTGGTTTGTCGTCGTCGTGTAGATGGGAAGACTGTGGAAATTTCGCACCTGGGCCAGACAGAAAGAGTGGCAGCAAATCTGTGGGCGCGAAAATTTGCCCTAATGCACCGTCAGGCCGTCAGGCATCGAGTTCGTCTCTCTCTCTTTTTTTTTACACTACCCTTCCCTCTCTCCCCCGTCGGCTTCAGTAGCAGTAGGGCCGTGCACCTCAAGTGCCCGCTTCAGTGGACCGTACACTGAGTGCCCTGCAGGAGCGACCGGGGCCTGGGCCCTGCAACGGTGGCTCCTGACCGGTAGACCTCGGTGTGTCGGTGTAGAGTTCGGTCAGGGCAGCCGCTCGTTAAAGCTCGTTAAATTGCCTATGCCTAGGCATCTGCTTGCCGCATTCTTTCACATGCCACAGCCCGAAGCCAGATGGAGGGGACATGTGTCTCATGAAAGAATCTCAATTCATGCCGGTGTATTTAGACGACCTGCGGTCTAGCTTGTGGTGCTTACTTGCCCTTCCATGACGGTAGCAGCCAAGAGGTCCAGCTCCCCGTGACGCGTGGAACAGTTACTGGACAACTCCCTGCCCGTCTTCTGAATACTCAAGCTAGTCTTCTTGTTGTTGTTGTAATACATTATAAAAACACTGATGGATGAAATGCTGGGTTGAATGAGGCAACCCGAGCGGCAGTCTCTCTGCCCCATCGTGACTACTACGCAAGCCACTGTCTAGTTGTAACCACCCCATGCTCAGTACTGAGGCTTTTTGTAGACGCCCGCCTGCATCTTGGGGCCGCGGGGTGTCGCTAAAGTGAAGATGTGGTGCATGGCATCACCTTTTCAGATGTCGGCCTCCGAATTGCCATCCGGCCTGAGTGACACCAAATAATCGCGAGAGAGCTCAAAGCTGAGCCAGCTGGATGCCATGCTTGGCGCAACCTTCAGGAGATTGGGCACGATTCCCTTGTAAAGGCCCTTGATGCCTTCTTGGGCGACGATGACCTTGATAGCGTCGAATATACCCTTGTACTGGTAGCCCATGCCCGTCATGGTGTTGATCTGGAATCTACGACGTAGAACGTCACTGTGATGAAGTCAGCACCGCGACCTATGCGTAACACTCCAGCGCGAATAACTTACAAGGGGTAAGTACACGTCTGAGCGACAGCTCCCGACACCGCTCCGGCGAGCAGTTTCCTGACGGCACTGGGATTCTTGTCGCCCTCAGGAGTCAGGTATTTGCGAACCCATTCGTAGACCATAAAATTGAGGCCAACCTGAAGAACTGTTAGCAATGAAGCCACTGAAACAGCCTCTCTCATGAATACGTACGTAGGGGGCGACACCGGCAACCGTCGGAATGATGCCACGGTAGAGCGCAGAAAAACCACCTTCCGTCTTGTACATCTTCCCCATGGTGGCCCACATGCCAGGAAGCTCCTTGGGTCGGTCACCCAGCTCGGCAAAGGAGGCAGATTGGATGGAGAGGCGGGTCCGCACAATATCGAGGGGGTAGGTGAAGAAAACAGAGGTAATTCCAGCAATGCCGCCGCAGGTCAGGCGGGCAAGGGGGGACAAGTCTGCACCAGGCTGCTTCTCAAAGAAATTCTGCTTGCGGTCAGTTGAAAGTCACATTTACATGCTCAAAGGATGTATGCGGTACGTATGTACAACCAACAATTTGGAAGAACTCACCCTCTTGTAAAAATTGTAACTGCCAAACTGGACAGCTGAGTACGGAACAATGCGGACGCAATTGGTTCCATTGCCTCGCATGAAGCCTCTCCAGCCTTCCTCCCGCCACATTTTGGCAAGGCCTTGACCAACAGACAACTTGTAGGCATCGCGCCCAACACTCTGAACTTGGAACAAGATTTTAAGACGTTCGAGGGGCGATACGACAGTCCGAGAAACGGCACCAGCGACACCTCCAGCACAGAAGGCAGCCACAACGGGTTGCGAAAACGTTTCGCGGACTCGGACCATGCCAGCAAGGGCAGCTGGTTCCGCTGCGGCAGGCACAGCGGTATTGCTTGGGGACTAATAGCATACTCGCGTCAGTTTCGATGGTTTCCACGCTCCCAGCCGACGGTATACAGAACGGCATGGTGTAGGGCAGAGAAGACTTACGGGCGACATAACTTCAGACTACCGGTGGTCAACAAGCAGTGCGGGTGTGCTTTTTTCTCTCTATTTGCATGCGCAAGACTGTTGGTTCAGAGCAACCACACTGCTGAACCTCTGAAGCCGCCTTTATGCTATGACGTTGCTTGCATTTAAAGCTCTTGGGGTTGTTCTTTCGAGAGTCGTATCAAGAAGCTCTGCGACTCTGGAGCAGTGGCTAAACACAGATGGAAAGATGCTTTCAAAGAATGACCCAAAAAAATGGAGAAGGGATAACGAGAAATTTAGAGAGAGCTCGACAACGGCAACGGAGGCATAGTAAATGGGGTATTTGGGATTGAGATTCTGGGTTCGACCATTTAAAGGCAGCTTCGTCGTCGGGGCGAGATGATGGAAGCGTGGGTGGTTTTCGAGGGTATCGCGGTTTTTTTTGGCCGAAGTTTGTCGTCGGGAAAGGCAATCTCCCATGTGCCGCGGCTATGGGCGTGGATGGGTCCGACAATGATGATGACGGAAAGGCACGGGTGACAGACGGGTCGGTCGGTGCACTGCTATCAATCGTCAACGAGTGCTCGAGGAATTGCAGGTTGAGTCGGGGTGACGAGGCGGATCGTAGAGCGAGGGGCGCGTGGTGGGAGTCGAATACGGGAAGGACAGGTCGAACCTTGCAGAGGTAAACGCTGAGGAAGAAGTCGGGCAGATGGCGGCGCAGTCGACAGGGCAGGGACGGCGACGAGATGGGAGACTGTCAGAGGTGCGCGAGATGCAACGGAGCGGTTGAGATGTCGTGATCTTCGCGCGTAGAGACCTTTGAGTGTTGCTACAGTGTTCAGTGAGGGGCGGCAAAAGTCCCGAGTCAAGTTCGCGAAAGGAAATGCGGACGCGGACGCAGAGACGCAGTAGGCGCGCAGATCAAGATCCGGGCCAGATCCAATTTCAGCTTCCAGCAGGTCCCGTCGCCAGTGTCATAGCCTGGCACCTGGCAGTTACCTACCTTAGGTGGTAGGGCGGGGGGCAGCGGGCATCTCAATGACAGTGAGGGGACACTGAGCTTCTAAGCTTTGGGAGGAGCCCCCCGTCGGAAGGTGTCCGTCCAGGTAAGTACCCTCCATACCTACCTACCTACCTACCTCCATACTTCGACCCCGGAGCTACCTACCTGCCACGACCTACCTACCTTAGGTAGGTAAGGTACCTACCTCAAGGTAGAGTAAGGTACCTGTCGAGGTCGGTTGCTGCTCAGAGGCGGCCCGGCAATGGACAGACAACCCGCCAAGCTGCCTGGGCAGGGGAAGTACCTGTGCACCCAGACATCTGTAGTGGAAAGCCATAGACGTTGCACCCCTAGAACCCAGTGTCCTTGGTTCGAAAATTGCCGCCCTTTGGTGTGGATTTGCTCGCACACGAGATCATTCCGGGTGCGGCCCAAGGTAGGTTGCGATATGTACTTCTGTTGCCAGTCGCCAGTGGAGTCACTGGAGTGGCCTCCGATACTCTCTCCACACAAATGATGACAACCTAAAGTACCTTAGCCGGGGAGGGGGAATGGGGCTCCTCACAGCCACGGATGCCCGCTGCAATTCGTAACAATTCAAAATCTCAAGTCATGCTCATGTGCCTCACGTGCCAAACTAGGTAAGAAAGAGATGCAGTGATTCCGGCAGATGACAGGAAAGGAGAAAGAAAGACTTGGGTCATGGGGCTTAACGGTCTGCCAGCCCCGACCAGGCGGAGGAGGCAATGGAGTTCCCAGATGGGCGTGTAAGGACTTGACGACTGCGATAGCCAACTGATGATACTGCCTAAGCCAGCCAGCCAGCCAGCACCGGTCTGCAGACGCCCACTAGACTAGGTAGTTGCACTCGGTTTGTGTCGCCGCATCATCTCTTCCAGTCCCGACAATGAGGTCCGGGCCTTCTCCCACCCAATGTCGGCTTCGTCCGGGTTACATCGGGGCCAACTTGCCGAAACCTCACCTCTCTCTTCTTTCCGAGCCTCCGGATCCTCCCTATCAACACTCCCAGCATCGACAAGCGCGCATGTATCTTCGCAACACTGACACCCCGCCTTGACTGCCGTCTTCCCCGCACCAAAATCTACACGTCCAAGACAGGATGGCTACCGGTCCAGCTTCGCCAAGCCCACGCGTGATCGGCATCCCTTGAAATGACCCCCGCGGGAGGTAGGTGTTTGCCCGGATGAAAACATCACCCAATGCCACAGCGGACCTTATTCACCCGAGGCCAAACCCATTGGTAGCATCTTCTCTTGAAGACCACGACAAACATCTCTCGAGCAGCGTCGCGGGACAAAGGCCCTCGACCTGATAATGTTCAACAGACATCTAAACCATACAATTCTGTAAAGACCTACATTCAATTTCTCTAAAACTACGAATTGGGAAATGCTATCAAATGGCCGCCGCCGCAACCTTCATCGTCTCAAGCTCGTCGCCGAGACGGAAGTTCCACCCATTATCACTCCGATATGACTAACAAAGTTTGAATGCTGCCTACGTCGGGCAGCTCAGCCCTCGCGTTCCGGGCCCGAAGCCGAATCGGTCGAATCGAGACTAAAAAGCTCCCAGATGGTGAGGACACTTTACAGATCCAGGTTCAACAGGTGAGGGGAGAACCGGGTAAGAAAATCAGAAACTTTTGGCACAGCCGCGCACAACCCGACAAAATTTTGCCAAGTATACTTATCACTCCGCAGCGACATCCAGGTCGTCGTGAGCAGGGGGAGGGCTGTCAATGGCTGTGGTGCGTTCTCGTCAGCTTGCGGAAACCTTGGCTGTCTCCTACGATTGAATACACGTACCCTTTCGGTCGTCGCCGTTGGTACCGTTCTCACGGTGGTCGCGCTCATCACGATCGTCCTTGGCATCCCGGTCACTAATACACAGCTGTCAACATCTCCATAGGGTGGGTCTGACATCCCGGGGGTACAAACCGGCGGTCAGGACTGCGAGAACGGTCACGAGTGTCGCGGCGTTCGCGGTCGTAGTCACGGTCGCGGTCACGACGGTCGTCCTTTCTGGGGGAGTAGTCGCGGGTGCTGCGGCGGGGAGAAGGAGAGCGGCCCCGGCGGGGAGAAGAGCGGCGGGGGGCACGCTCCCGGTCCCGGCCAGAGTCGAAGCGCCAGGAGGCGGAAGGAGGAGTGCGAGCCCACTGCGAACATGTCAGAATCGAACGGGTCAACCGGCTGTCGCGTCATCATACCTCGATCTTCAGGATGTCGTCGCGGCCGATGCGCTTGTTGTGCATCTCATGATAAGCATCGTCAGCGTCGCGACGGTCCTCATACTCGACGAAGGCAAATCTGAGCAAGATTTAGTACGCAGGCTTTCGGAGGACACCTGTTCAGAGGGGGGAATCAGTGACAACTTACAGTCTAGAAGAAGCCGAACGAGGAGCTGGGATGTCACAGCGGACTAGATGACCATAGCTACAGGGGAGCCAGAACGTCAGCATCTCCATACATACTCGGGATTTTTTTTTTTTTTTATAAAGTATTTGTTTTCTCGATTTTGATCCTTTTGTTCGTTCAACGAGACAAAGAGTCGGGCGCCGGGCGGGCTTGGCAGAGCCAGGCAGGTAGCCTCGTGAGTCTGTTCTCGCTGGGACGGAAGGCCGGCAGACCAGGGCGGCGCGGACAACAGGCGGCGGGTTGGTCGCGCGGGCCGAGGCGAGCGAACGAGGACTTGACGACGCATCGACGGGGACGGAGGGCGAGGGAGGCATATAGTATTGATATGCTGAGGCAGGAGCAGCGGAGGAGGACGGGAGGACGAGGAGACGAGGACGATGGGCGGGAGGGGCGAGGGAAGGAGATGAAGAATCGGAAATCTCGGAAGGCTCTCGCGTGCCGGGCAAAACAGGACGGACGGAGGCATCGACGTGGGAGTTTCTGAGTTCAGTTGACATACCGTTCGAATTCGTAGGCGAGGTCTCGGGCGCGCGTGCCGTGGCTGAAGCCAGTCACGTAGAGGGTGGTTCCACCGCGCGACATGATGAGCTGTGTTGACTGGTTACGTGGAGAGAGGAAATGACTTCAAAGGCTGGGAGAAGAGGAAGCGAGGCTCTCGAATGATGGGCAAGAGGGAGGAGAAACGACAATTGAGGGCTGATGGAGCAGCTCCTTTGACGAGATGGATGCGCGTTGGTGGTTTGTCGTGGAGTGGTGATGGTGATGATGAAGTGGTTAGAAGAGAAGGAGAAAAGACAAGACAGGCAAACTGGAATGGGTTGGTTCGGGATCGGCCTGGCGCAACAAAAAGATTTTGGTATGGCTCCCGGGGGGGGGGGGCCACTGGCACTGGAACGAGCTCGGGTTCCTCACGGTATTCGTACCTAGGTACCTTAGGTAGGTACCTTACCTCAGGTACGTGCCCGAGAAGGAGAGCCCCATACCTTAGGTAGCTTGTGACTGGCTGGCGGACGTCAGTGGACAGTCAAGACCGCGCTCGGAGCCGGGAAACAAAAGCTTACGTAACGACGGGGTCACGTACCTCACACTGTACCCAGGTATGGACTATAGACAGAGGGTCGCGTTTCAACGCCAACGGGCAGTTGCCGGTAGATTGGCAGCTAACGCAGGTCAGTGGCCGGGCTGTCTGTCCTGCCCTGTCCTGTCCTGCCCTGTCCTGTCCTGCCCTGCCCTGGGCTGCTCTCTCTCTCTCTGTGTCTCCCGTCACCCAAACCAAACGGAATGTCAGGAAGACCCCCCGGCCCGCTCGACCACGGGTGATGTCATTGGCAGCCAGCGCGCCAAATTTACTTTGGCACTTGCAGAAACAACTCCAAGGTCACCGTCTACACTCACCGAGCCCGCCCCGTCCGTTTCCCGCTTCGGCATCCCGGTGAGCAACCTACCTTAGCCTATGAATTTGCACTCCACCACCAACAACAACCTTTGCTGCACGACGTGCGTGACCCACGAATGTTCAGCAGACAGACAGACCGACAGACCTTCAACCGAATGAGGCCGGACATTCAACAGAGACAGCCCGGTGCGCACCGACGGATGATTCGGGCCCCAGGGTCGAGCGCGGGTGCAAACTGTCTCTCCGCTTCCGGCCACACGATGCGACAGCTTGATGTCAGAGAACACTTCGTCTTTCCTCTTGCTACCTACGCGGTAGCCAATGCAGTAGGGTTTGTTCGCCTGCCGAGCTTCAATCGTCCGATCACCACATTGGAGGCGAGTTGGATGCCACCCTGAGGCTCTCCAAACCATTTGCTCCTAGCACGGTTGAGGCGACCAGGCTGCCTGCCCACTGGCACCCCAGACTCATACTCTTTCTTGTCTGGCATCTCCAGGGTCGTCTCCAGGGCATGCGAGACATTAATCGTCGAGGCAGTGAGTGGATAGAGACATGCGGGAGATGTTCGTCGCGCTTGTCTTCCATGTCTTAACCAACTGCGCCATCCATCTTTCCTCCCTTTCGTCTCTTCACGTGTAATTCCACGTCGACCGGGGAAACTCTTACAGGTCCAGTCGGAAGGCGTCAAGCCACCTCATTCGAGCATACTACTCGCCTGCTAAGAACATTGCCAACTGGGGTTGCCTGTATGGAGACGACCACCACACCGTCCTCATCCACTCGTTTCTCCTGTGCCAGCGCCCATTTGCGCTTTGTACTGACTTCATCGAGCCCACACCTCACTCCATCCGACGTGTTCTTCTTACTCAAGTCGCCTCTGAATCCCGACACCCATGTCCACGTACACCACGCCTCCGTCCGTGGTCTTGTGTCCTCTTGCTGTTCCAACGGGATGCGCGGGATCTCGCAACTCGCAATCCCTCGGGGGCAGCCTTTTGTCGTATTACTCGCACTGCGCGACACTCCGATCCCTCAAATGCCCAGACGCTTCCCGGCTTATGGCGCCCGCGAAGACGAGAAACCCCCTTCCTCCCGGAAACCTCGGCCGCAGTTGATCACCCGCCGACGTCTTTGTCTGGCCATCTCAGATCATCTCGGATCGATGTCAGAGGCGGACGACCCGCGATGAGCCCGGCAGACCCGTAAATCCTTCACTTCACTGCACTGCGCTCTCAACGTTTTTTTTTTTTTTCTTCACAGCCGTCGTCCTCATATTTCTGCTCTTCCCACTTGACGTTTCATCCCGACTCTGGTTCAATTCTGATTCGCTTTACTTGGCCCATTTCCATTGATGCTTTTTGGTACTCATCTCGTACTCGACCCGAGTCATTGGTAGCTTCTTGCAAACGTACGTCTTCCCGGTCGCGCGGGCTGACTGACATATACTTCCCTGTCCCGAATCGCGCCGCCCTACTCCGCCGTATCGCAGTGTTACATCGACCTCGGAATAAGCGTCGTCGCACGTATACACGCCACAGCAGTATCTCACACCCTGTTCATCCTGACGATAGTTTCAAGTATTAAAAACAAACAACACTGGCGCTGACATTTGTTGACGTCGTCAGAGAGCCTCAGCATCTCGACCTCATCTTATAGCTTTCGCCGACAGAACCGTAAACATCGTATTGGTGCTTCTCTTCGTCTCAAGTGAGCTGTGCATAGCATCGTTCTCGCTGTGCCCGTGCGAAGACGCAGGAACGCATTGAGAACCCTCAGATTCTAGAATGGCGGCACGACCGGTGGCCTCACGGGATTCATCCCATGCATTGCGAGACGCATTACGGGCGGCCAACGGAGGCAGGACAAATTCTACAACTCCGTCCGAAACCACGAGCGAGGAGGATTACGACGAGCCCAAGCTCACAAGACGTCGCCATGACAGACCCTTAGCCAAGAACACATCGTCGCCTCTGAAGAACTCATCAAACCATGAGAGGAAGTTGTCTCTCGACGGCTCGACCTTGTCTGAAGCCTCAAGCATAGACGAATCCACTGGAGGAGCTGACAGAAAAGACCTGAAGACGTATGTGTTGTCCGCTGATGATCGAGAGCTTCGCGATGTCATCAGACGGGGTCTCGAACGGGTATGCTCTTGGTGACTCTGTCCTGACAGAGACAGACTACGCACGAACAGAGGGCACAATCACTGACACAAATTAACAGGAGAAGGACCCAAAGCGACCACGGCGGCCGGGGAAGTTCAGCGACCTAGTCTTTACTCGCCAATTCTCTGCCTTTGACCGGCAGAACCAGCAGACGGCAAATAGCCCCTTCCATGGGTTCTTCACGCTGTTTTGGCTAGCCGTGGCGCTGTTCGTCGTCAAGATAGGGGCGGCCAACTGGAGGGCCACCGGCAACCCCCTAGGGACGAACGAGATTATGAAGACCATGTTCCGGCGGGATGTGATTGTTCTGTTAGCTTCCGACGGTGTCATGTGTGGCATCACCGGCGTAGGCTGGATTCTGCAACGGCTCATCTTCAGTGGTTACCTAGACTGGAATCGATCTGGCTGGATCATCCAGAATGTAAGTCTTTCGTAAATTGCTGTCCTTCATGTTCTTTTTCTTATACGGGCTTTTTCCATAGGTTTGGCAATCAATCTTCATCGGCAGCGTCGTCGGCCTCACGCTCATCCGAGACTGGCCCTGGACACATACCGTCTTCTTCGTCCTCCACGGCATCGTCATGCTTATGAAGCAGCACTCGTACGCCTTCTACAACGGTCACCTTTCCACAGTATACAAGAAGCGAAAGTACCTCCTTTCGAAGTTGAAAAAGCTGGAACACGTTGCCCCCATCAACTCGCCTTCCACGACCAGCCCGTCGGCATCCACCATATCGATTTCCCACCTGGACAATCCCCCGTCTGCGGCCGAGATGAAAGGCCGCCGACACTCCGTCACCCACACCCGTGGCTCTGAGACGACGGACGTCGACCGCATCTCCCACGCTATCGAATCCGGCGAGCCCCTCGACGCCGACCAGGTCCGCGTGTTCGAGCGCATCATCAAGTGGGAGATTGACGGGCTCACCGATGAGCTGAGGGGCAAGGCGACGAGCGTTGCGCGGGCGTACCCGAACAACCTGACACTCGCCAACCATTACGAGTACATTGTGTTGCCGACCGTCGTGTACGAGCTCGAGTACCCCCGTTCTGACTCCATCGACTGGTACTATGTCGCCGAGAAAACGGCCGCTACCTTTGGCATTATTCTCGTCATGATCATGGTGTCTCAAGCTTTCATCTGTTGGTCAACCCCCGCGCCCACAACTTTCGGACACAGGCCTAAACTGACGACCTTGACAGATCCCGTCGTGATGCAGACTGTGGCGATGAAGGAGACGGGCATGCCCCTCGCTGAGAGATTCCGCTACTTTCCTTGGATGTTAAGCGACCTCATCTTTCCATTTATGATGGAATACATGGTAAGCACCCAGACATCCGAACACACCCCCTGACATCCATGCAGAGACTAATGGATTACAGATGGCCTGGTATCTAATATGGGAAACGATCCTCAACACCCTGGCGGAGCTCACCTACTTCGCCGACAGGAGCTTCTACGACGCGTGGTGGAATAGCGGTAGGTTGACCTTTCCCCAATTCGACTTGCTCAGGAACTGACAAGACACTTCCATCAGTATCCTGGGACCAATTCGCGCGTGACTGGAACCGGTAACCTCTGACCCAAACCCTCGAAACCCCTTGAACCCCAGCTGATGATCGCTAGCCCGGTGCACAACTTCCTTCTCCGCCACGTCTACCACAGCTCCATCTCATCCATGAAGGTGAACCGCCATACTGCGACACTCATCACCTTCTTCCTCTCAGCCTGCGTGCACGAATTGGTCATGTGGTGCCTGTTCAAGAAGCTCAGGGGTTACCTCCTTTTCCTGCAAATGTGCCAGCTACCGGTATGTGGATCTTTCTGCCCTTCTTCAACCAACCCATCTCGAGATGATTCTAACGGGAGGGAAAAAAGCTTGTGCAGCTCAGCAGGACGAGTTGGATGAGAGGTCGCAAGACACTGGGCAACATCATGTTCTGGTTCGGTATCTTTACCGGTCCCAGTCTGCTCTGCAGCTTGTATCTCATCTTGTAAACTTTGCTCAAGTACAAGCGTCGAAAGAAAACTTGTACCATACTCACAAAACTGTACCACATAAGACGTATCACGGAAAGTTTTAAAGTACAATTTCAAATACAGAAAGTTCTATACTCTCTTGAGGGGACGTGAGGCGAGCAGGGAAGTCTGAAGGGGATATTCTGATGACTTGGATTCATTCAACTACAAAAACACGCAATCAACAAAGCCTCGCCGAAGTTTTGGCCTTTTTCTATCCTCATTGACAAAACATAACGTTCACGCCGCGTAACAAATGGTCGTCAAGTCGGTTTACAGTCCCTGCTTCTCCGCAGTGGCCATCAGGGAGCCTGGGTATGGGTTAGCAAAAGTGTGCTGAAAACAAGTGTTTGCCAAAGCACTTACCGATGAAAGTAGTCACCAGGCGGCTGCGGACCTGGCAAATATCCTCGGGCACCAGCCAGATGGTCGCTCCCATCTTTCGCGCGATGCTGATGCTGAGCTTGGCGTTGAGGTAGGCGTCGTCGTCCGTGTGGCCAGGGGTGACGAGATCGTAGTCGACGTAGCTGCTCTTCATACCGTTGAGCACATCCAACAGGAAGACACCGGTGCCGATGGCAGGATCCTTGAAGGAGCGGATGCTCGAGGACTTGCCGCCCTTGCGAGCCATGTCGTTGGCCCATCTGACCATCTCCGAGTCTGTAATTTCACGCTTTCCAAGACGCTGTGCCAATGTAGACAGGGTAACAGTAATGTCCTTGCGCATCAGCTGCCAAACCAAGCCGAGCGTCAAGGTGCGCTGGCCGTCAGTGATATCCGCACCCTGGATGCCGACAAGCGAGAAGCGGTTCTGCTTGCCCAGCTCAATGGCGTAGTTGGTGTTCTCAACAGCCTTGAAGCGCAACATCTCTCCACCGTGAGCCGGAGGCTTGTTGACATGACGCCAGTTGACAGATCCCTTGATGACCTTGTCGTACGCTTGCAGAAGTACAGTGCCGTCGCGCAAGTCGTCGAAGAAGGACTGGACCGCGGGCTGCACGTCCAAGCTGTTGAGCCAAAGAGTGAAAACGCGAGCTTCCCTCTCTCCTTCGGCGTCAAAGTCCTCAACCTCCAGCTTCTCCTCCTCGGTGATGGGGTCGAGCGCGGGGTGGTTGTTAAAGAGGTTGGCAACGAAAGCAAGGTTCAGTTTGGGGTTGCCGGCAACCAAAGAAGTTGGCGTAAGGAACTTGCGGCAACCCATCCTGTCGGCCGTTTGCAGAATCTCTTCGGCTCGCTGCAAAAGATCGCGTGTCTGGAGAGGGCCTCTCGTCGCGCCGTACTCGGAGCCAATTTGTGCCAAGAGCACCGTGTAGTTCTCGCCGTCCTTGATATCGGTCGAAAAGTTGTTGACCCTGTCATGCGTCAGTCACAGTCTCCCCTGAACTGGGGTACTTAACATACCTGCGAGGCCAGTTGGCCGCCTTCAAGTGGTAGTTGAACCATCTCAGAAGAATCTGTTCAGGGGGAAGGCGCAGGAACTGCTCCAAAGTCTCGTCCTCCTCGAGCAAGCGGTACAGCTCAGGGTGAAGCTTGATATCGATCTTGCTAAGCAGGCCACGGCGGATGATCTGCCAGATCAGACCAAGAATCAGATGCTCTCGGCCCTCGATAATATCACCACTGCCAATGTTGACAACGGACAGACCGATACCCTTGGAGGACTCAATGACGATATTGTTGTTCTCCGTCATTTGGAAGGCGTTGAGGTTCTTTGCCTTCTTGGGGCGGTTCAGGACACGCTCGTCGATGGTGTCGGGGACACTGTCGTTGATGAGCTTGGCGAGCACCAGACCATCCTTGCACTCGTCGAACATCTCAAAGGTGTCAGTGGGAAAGGGAAGGCGGTTGCCAATATCAGGGTCACCGGCCAGAACGGCGTTGATGTGGCGGGTGAATTCGGTTCGCTCATCTTCATTGATGGTGTGGGTGACGTTGGCGTTTGAGCCCTGAACGTGAATCTTGCCAATGCTGGCCTTTTTGGCATGACCACCGGTTGCTTGTGCGACAATGCCAGCGGGCGCAGTAGGGCCTGTTGACATGCGTTTTTGGGCGGGAGAAGACTCGCGAAGCTTGGCAATCAGCTGTAGGAGGGTCAGTCAGCAAAGAAGGGGATATTGGAGGGCTGGGGCAAGGACGAGGGGTGGGTGGGATGACGGCGACGTACGGCGACGTAGTCCTCGAGCTCGACACGGCGAGACGAGTCGAGGTCAACCTCTTTCAAGGCCTGTCTGACGACATCGTATGGCTGGCGCTCGCTCTGTTGGGTAGCTTTGATGGCAGTAGCCTCGTCAACGTAGCCCTTGTCGTCAATGTCGAGCTTGCGGAAAGCGTCGCTCAGGCCGTAGATTTCGTTTTGGGGGAACTGAGGATACTTCCTGTCGGCAGATGTGCGTCAGTAATGGCCAACCCCCTGGGTGATATGGTGAATCACGGGGTGCGGGGGTTTGCAATGCGCACCTCTGGAGCTTGAGAACGTTCATGATGGCGGGTGTTTGAAGGAGGCGCGGCGGGAGGAGAAGGGAGGCACAACTCGAGGATCGAGAAGGAGAGGTTGGACTGGGCAGGACGGCAGCAAGGGCCTTGGAGTTGGAGAGACTGCGCTCGGCGCGGGAGGAAAGCGAACCACGAGATCAGGGACCAAGCGGACCTGGGAGCGGTAGATGCGCAGGAAGCTCCGGAACGCACGGACGCTGGCGGATGACAGTTGAGGAGGTAAGGTGCCTCACGGTGAGGGAGGAATGCGAGGGATTGTGCTCGATGGGTGGGCAGGTAGATGGAGCTGCAATTGCCGGGCAGCAATGGGCGAAGAGCTGAAGAGACGACGATTCCTTGTGGCGGCGATTGAGGTTTTGGTTGTGGTGTTGGGTTGTATGTAATGGGGAGAGAGGCAGAGGCACAAGCAGCAGCAAGGCAAGAAAGACCAAGCAAGGCCGGGGAGGTAAAATGTCAGAGGCAGCGCCCGAATGACGGATGATCGCAATGGTAAAAGTAATGAGTGGATGGGATGGACACTGGGCCCAGGCGAGGCGGAGCGGAGCAAGGGTGCAGCAGCAGCAGCAATAATACGGCGTACCTTACTGCTACACTATTCGTACCTCCTCTAGCAGCGACCTACGATAATACTTGTTGGCGGGGGCGGGGAGGGGCCATTGATGTAATGACACAGGCATTAGCTGACCTGGGGACGAGGATTGGCTGCCTCGAGCATTCCAGCCCGGTACCTTGCCTCTCCTGTCTTGGCTAGGCGTCGACGAGCGGTTGCCATCAAAAGAACATCTGCACTCACTGCCAACGCTGCGAAAGAGAGGTATCTTGTGATTACTCGACGGCGCTTACCTCAGCTCGCGGGACGTCCCCGGCCCTTCCGCCGAATCGAATGGGTGCCTGCGGTCGCACAGGATACGCGGGAAGCCTGTTTCGCTGCGGCCTCCAGCTACATGGACTTGCGTAAGGCAGTACAGTGTACGGCAGACAGCCCTCAGCCAAGACGTTGTGTTAGTGAGCACACCCCGTTGTACCGTACCGGTCTTGCGTAAAGACCAACGTACGCCTTCACAGGCACCAGCTCTGACTGATTCTTTGGCTTCTCTTCTCGATGCTTCCTCCCTCGTCTGGGGCTGCAGCCTTCAGGCTTCTTCTTGGGCTTCGGTCGAAGCCATCCCTTCCTTCATCCCTGGATCTCACATTTATGCCGCTACCCAAGGTGTTCAACCAGAGCAACACAACACAACGGGCAGCCCAATGCCGTGAGTTGATGCCCGTTAATGATTAGCCCCTCTGGGCAATGTTCTGGAACATGTGCAAGTGCAGGGAAGCCCACGTCAGGTGCCAAATGCGCAGAACAACCACGGCAGAAATTAGTGTCGACGCCAAGGGTCGTGGTATCCGAGACTGGAAATCAGTCACTTCCAGATGCACTGTGCAACTTCGCTCTCACCTTGCACTTCTGGACCGTGTGCATCTCCAAGGTAGCACAGTCCCCGCTCCTGGTTTTCCCCCCACCTCGAATTTTCTGATCTCGATGCCTTCATCGCGACATTGAAGCTTTTGTGTCAGGACAAGCGGCTCAATCCCCGATTCGCACACTTCAGACCGCATTCACCTGGCTGTTTCTGACTTGCTGCTGCTGCTGCTGCTCACATCATCACCACCCCCCTTGTCGCCCCCCTCCCTCACTTTGGCTCTCAGCACCAAACCTCATCCACCACAACCGCAAGTCGCCTTGCACACATCACAACCATGGCTGCCGTCTGCAAAGCCTGCCAAGACCCCCTGGTCATCAGCATCGAACCTGATAGCGACGATGAGGGCCAGGCCACCGAGGAGACCCAGAACGTGCCCGATGATCTGGAGCTGCCCTGCGGATGCCACTTCCACTGGTACGCAACCCAGTCTCACTAACATGATGAGATGACCTAACCATACTTACACCATGCATCAGGCAATGTCTCTTGGACCAATCCGCAGAGATCGCCATTTCTCTCAACTGCCCATCCTGTCAGAAATACCTGCCAACAAACCAGCAGGGCCCCTCCGTCACCAACCCTTTCCTGTCCACCACCCCAGGTGCTGCCATCTTAACCCGCTACGTCAACGAGGGCGGGCTGCAGGACGGCCTGGACATCCTGCCCAACATCACCGAGGAGGCGTACCTTGACGCCCATCCCGAGGCCCGTCCCGCCCGTGCCTACCACCTCATGTGCTCAGAAGGCGATGTCCAGGGCGTCGTGGAGCTCCTTCAGGACGCCAACGAGGAGCTCAACGGCGACATTACTCAGCTCGGCCAGCTGATCCGCTACCAGGACCCCCTGGCTGGTGGCAAGAGCCCTCTTCACGTTGCTGTCGAGAAGTCTCAAGAGGAGGTCGTCTGGCTGCTGCTCTGGGTCGCCTCGCCCTTGCCCACTGATCTCTTTCCCCAGTCGGCGCGACAGGCTGCCGAGGCGCTGCAAATCGTTCGCCTCACAAATGACAACGCTCAG